TGATTTTTCATGAAAAATGAAAATGAAATGTGAAAAATGGAAAAAAATTAAAATATAAAAAAAAAAAAACAAAAGTTATTGAAATAAAATTACACATTTTCAAAATCTCCCGTTCCAGCTTGTAAGTGGGTCGTTTTCGCTAATAAAATGGCATATTTCATCTCAAATATCTTATGGATTCAAAATTAGGAAGAAGCACAAGTTTTACCAAACAAATACCAGATTTAGGAAGTGCTTTGTTTGACTGGTCTTATTAAATTAATCTCGTCGAACTATTCAAAATTTGTATAAAAAATGAGTATCGGTTTCAATACAAATGCAGAAATGTGTTTCTTTTTTTTCTTTTTTGTCTTTTGACGGTCTCTTTTTTTACCAGGACAAAGATGAAGTGGCAGCAAACGAAGTGAGTGTGGATAAGGTTACGCGCTTGATAATCTACAAATTTATTAATTCAGGCTTTTTCGATGCTCTCGAAAATATTATAGCTACGGGAAAGGCAAGTTTTTCGATGCTCCGGTTCGGTACTTTTGAAAAACTCTTGCTTTGTTGTAGCTGGGCATCCCTCCCGGTGGTTGCTGTATGTGTGAATTTTTTTGTTTTCCTAGCGGTGCTGACACTCGTTTCCATAGCTTTTCCATTGTTTGGAAGAAAATGCTGGATGCTTTTAACTCAGAAAATGCTTAGAAAATGCTTTTAACTTAATTTTTTTGATGATTAATCGCATGCTTTCTCACATAATAACCATCACACGGGAAAAATATGCTAGGAGTTGATTTTATGGGAATTTTCAAAGCCATTGGACTCTGGATGAAGAAATATTTGAATCATTAGGAAGATAAGTTAGTGCCCCTAGATTTAAGCTTCAAAATTTTGCATTTCAGTACATTTTTCGTGCTTTACCTTCTGTGAGAGATAAAGACACTTGTTAATTATCACGAGTGGTTGCACATTGTTAGCAATAAACACATAACAAACATACATACATACATACATACATACATACATACATACATACATACATACATACATACATACACATACATACATACATACATACATACATACATACATACATACATACATACATACATACATACATATACACACACATACATACAAACACACATAAATACATACATAAATACACACATAAACATGCATGCATACATACATACACAAATACAAACATCTGTGGCGCTGCTTGTTAACATGCTAAAATATGCTTAATTAGATAATTATGCCTTCATAATTCACAGTTTGGTTCTCCAACTATGCAGCTGGCAAATTTCCTAGTTGCTTTGACTAGTGCCGCATCGTAAAACCGCTGGACCGCTGGCGAAGATGATGTTATTTTTGTTTTTTGAAGTGATTACCAGCATAGCGATTTCATCCGATTAAAGGACTTTGCAAGCCTTTAGCACTCCCGAAATGTACATTATGTGTTTGAGCAGTATGATCACCTGGCCTCTAACTTTGCTACTTCTAAACCTTGATGGGGTACCATATCTAAATTTACTCGTATCTCAGGGTTATTA